GAGAAAGACCTGGGTGTCATGGTGGACGACAAGTTGACCATGAGGCAGCAGTGTGACCTCGTGGCCAAGAGGGCCAATGGGATCCTGTGGTACATTAAGAAGAGCATCTCCAGCAGGTCGAGGGAGGTGCTCCTGCCCCTCTACTCAGCCCTGGTGAGGCCGCATCTGGAGTATTGTGTCCAGTTCTGGGCTCCACAGTACAAGAGGGATGTGGAGCTGCTGGAGAGAGTCCAGCGCAGGGCCACAAGGATGATCAGGGGCCTGGAACATCTGCCCTATGAGAAGAGGCTGAGGGAGCTGGGCCTGTTCAGCCTGGAGAAGAGAAGGCTGAGAGGGGATCTAATCAGTGTCTATAAGTACCTCAAGGCAGGGAGTGAGGAGGATGGTGCTGGCCTTTTTTCAGTGGTGGCCACCAACAGAACTAGAGGTAATGGCCACAAACTGAAGCACCAAAAGTTCCGCATGAACTTAAGGAAAAAAAAATTAACAGTGAGGGTGACAGAGCCCTGGAACAGGCTGCCCAGGGAGGTTGTGGAGTCTCCTTCTCTGGAGATCTTCCAAACCCGCTTGGACGCAGTCCTGTGCCACGTGCTCTAGGTGACCCTGCATGTGCAGGGTGTTGGACTAGATGGCCTCTAGAGGTCCCTTCCAACCTTAAGCATTCTATGATTCTATGATAATTGACAACCAGTCACTCTTAGTGAGGGCAAAAGGGAGAGCAGTGAATGAAACCAATGGACTTCACAGAGTTTACTTTAGCTTGCTGCATTGAACCTAGGCATCTTCCTAGAATCAAATTCTGGGGGTAAAGTAGTCAGAACATCTGTGCACTCCTCAAAGAATCAGTATTTGGGGCACAAGTATGAGCCATCTGAACATGGTGGAATGCAAGGAGTACAGTAAGGGACCAACCTGAGTGATTAACAAATACGTGGATGACTTGAAACTTCAGTAGTAACAAGAAAAAAAGAAACTAGGTCAACCAACTAAGGACAAGTATAAAAACAGCACACATACATAGAAACAAATCTGAAAAGGTCCTATCATGAAATAAGAAATAGTCAGTGACATATGTAAAGAACAAGAAGAAAACAATTCCACAGATACTTTAGTAAAAAGCAGAACATCCAGGAAGGAGGCATTCCAGTACTCAGTGAGAAAAGAATGGACAATGCCAAGAAAATGGAAGTGTTTTGTGCCTTTTTACTGCAATTTTCACAAAGAGGTCAGATGTGATCAGATGTCTAACACACCACCAGCAGGAAGGGAGTAAGAACAAAAGCAAAATAGTGAACTATAGACACGCAATTTGTAGAAAAGTTAAACTGTCCAAATTTCAACAATTGATTAAATTTACTTCAATGTGTTCTATACATGCTAGAGTAACCTCAGGTGCTACCTTTAAGAAAACCCGGGAAACACCTGAGATTGCAGAATAAATCAAACAGCAATGAAATAAATCAAAAGCAATACCTACTTTTAAAAGGGTAAGGCACAGAAAAGGAAGAGCTAAGGAACCAAAGCTGAACTGACTGATCTAAACAACCTAGGAAAGCACTCAAAATATTTTCTAGTTGAATCTCTAGAAGATGAAGGTGATTAATTGTTTGCCAAAAACTTATATTATCTATGCACATCACATATAAAGGCACTTCTGCATAGAAGTAAACCTAAAAATATCACAACTTCAGGAGCTCTAGACATAATGATACCACTGGAGACTGTGAAAGAAGCCAGAAAATAGGGGCTGGATAAAATTCTTGTAGAATGAATATGACTATCAGTTGGAAAACTGCTATAAGAGTCTAGATCATTGTGGGAAAAAAAAATGGTAAGATACATTCCAGACATCTCTCTCTACTGAATATTTTACAGAACAGGCATAAGGAATATACTCGTTAAGTTCAGAAGAGCTGATAGGCTAAGGCAGCCAGAAAACACAGGATCAGGGTTCCATTGACAAACCGGAGGAACGGTCTGGGGATAATATTGGCAATAAGATGCAATTCAATAGGCATAAATTCAAATCTGCACAGAAACAGATTTGCCTTTTGGGAACATCCAAAGTCCAGATGCTAGGACTGTCTCTGAATGCCTGGTGTAACCA